GCAAATGGGAGAAGGTAAAATAGAGAGCTAAGGAAGCAGAGGATTGACATTCCTCCCATAAGATGTGATCAGCAAAATGGTCACTCCCATAGGGAAAGCAGTGCTGGATGTACCTGTATGGGGAGCACACAGACACCCTGGCTATTCCCAGCTGGAGCCACACCACCACTGGGGCTGCCCTGAGGTTTGCTGGGAATGCCTGACCCACAGGGATCCGAGGAACACAGATCACACCGGGCCTGGCACCTGCAACAGCTGCCACTGACAATCAGGAGCACGGCCAAGGCAGCGAATCCAGGGCCTTTGGTGCCCGGGATCCCCAGGGAACCCATGCATGGAAGCTGTTGTGTTCCTGCCTTCCCCAGCACCGGTTCTGCAGCGGCTGCTTTCAGCTCCTCAGTCCCAAAGAATGGGGAGGGGGTGGGAATCTTGCTGTGCCAAGCCCAGCTCCGTGCCATGGTGTAGCAGTGAGCCAGCCTGGGGTCCTCTGCTGCAGCATTTCCCTCCTTGCAGGGGCAGCGCTCGCACAAAGAGCAGGGCTGGAACAGTGGGGTTGCAAACGATCCCTTTCCAACTGAGTGAGACGTTCATGTCTGAACCTGACGGGAATCCTGCTCTCCCACACAGTAGCAGTTTTTTATCATAAGTACCATTTGACTTCCCAGATAAAATGTTTGTTTGCTTTCTTCCTTTTACAGCTGTGAAGAGCAACATTTAGACAAATATTTGATGGACAGATGGTCCAACAAGCCTGTCTAACTTGCAGAGGTGCCTACTTGCCTACTGTAAACGATGTCAGCATGAAAGCACTGGGTTCTCCTGCACTGGAGGTGATGGATTCCCTCTCCAACCCCAGGATGGAGAGCAGAGGTTACTCACCTTCCTCCCGGCCTCGTTGTTGTGCAGGTTCATGAGCGTCCTCGCGTTTTGTTTGATCTCCCGGGCATCCACAAAGACCTTGGCGAACCCGATCCCATATCGGATGTCAGCGGAGCAGCCTCCCCATTTCCAGCCTTCCTCTTTGTGGTACTGTCCCTGTTTCTCCTTGTCACAGCCACAGTCACTCAGGTTGCCCTGTGTGCAGGCAGCAGTGATGGCATGTGCCACCCCGGCCGCGATGATGGCGTAGGTGAACGCGGCCTCTCTGCTCCCTGGAACGGAAAAAGGGACACAAATACAGGATACCTGAAAGGTAAAAACTGCCATAAACACGTGACAGCTGAAATGGAAAAACTGCCATAATTACGTGGTATCTGAAATGGAAAAACTGCCATAAATACATGATACCACACAGGGACATGAGTTAGAAAACCAGGCAAGTTCCTGCGGGGCAAACATCAGAAGTTATTATTAGAAGTGGTATAAATCTGCAGGCCTAAGCAGGTCTCTACTCTTCTAAGTATTGATTTTGGTGGATGTTCGCTCTCTAAAATGATACTCTCCATGAGGGAGTCAGAGATAAGTATTGTTGAGGCAACTTCACCTGTGTACTTCCAGCTGGTACTAGAAGCAGTCAAACTAAACTTTTAAGAGCAAAAGGGTGGGGTGGCAAAGGCTTTAGCTCAAAAAAAGAAGGAAGGAAAACAAAATGGGTGGAATTGGGGGGTGAAATCACTAAAACGACCATATTTGACTTTTTAAAAAAAATCACAGAATATGCTGAGTTGGAAGGGACCCACAAGGATTATCAAGTCCAACTCTCGGCCCTGCACAGGTCCGTGCCCAAGAGTCACACCATGTGCCCCAGAGGATCATCCAAATGCTTCCTGAAATCATCTCAGAAGTCGGATTTTATTTATAAATTTAATTCTACACTAAAAGGGTTTTTTACAGTAAAACAATCTCTGCTGGACATCTTGTTCTGAAAGCATTTTAACTGAACTGGGACATTTTTTTCCACATTGTGTCACAAAGCTTTCAACACTGACTCAATGAAATAAGTTTTGGGTTTAATTTCAAATTTTCTCACAGGATGGAAAAAAATCCTGACCTGTTGAGAGTACCACGACCAAAGGCAGGTGAAGTGGAGCCTCACCAGAGGGCTGTGAGGCAGAGGTCAAACCAATACTATTTTGTGCAATGAGGCCCTAAGGACAGGCTTCCGTTTGTTGGGGGGGGGCTTCTCACTTGAAATCTAAGATCTGATTTATCTTCTTGAAGTTTTCTTGTATTCTGGTGCGTGGGTTTCCCACGGGTGGACCCTGTGGGATCTGTGAGGCTTTTGGAACCAGTTCTCCTGACAGAGGGTCTCTTCAACACCTAAGGAGGTTTGCAGAGGTTACCCCTGTAACCTCTTTGTAGGTTTCAAAATGTTTGGATCTCTCAAACTAAGAACTTACCCCTACTCTTATTTCTCCAATGACAGAATGTACCCTTGCATCAACAGGATCAGAACTGGGCTTTTAATTAGGAGAGTGCAGATGGAAAGATCCACTTCCCTTCTCCAGTTCTGGCAGACCTCAGCTGCTGGCAATAGTTCATTATACATGAAACAAGCCCATTTCTGCTGTTTATTGGATTTCACAAAAAAAAATAATCACTTGGGAGAGAAACCTTACAAGCACTTCATTCTTGGCTACATCCCTTTCACGTGTATGATCTAGATTGTCACTTCTAATGAAAAATGTTCACTTCCTTATGTCAAGGAAGTAAAATGGAAAACAAGATGACATTATCACAAGCTGTTAACAGTCAACTTCATGCCCTCTCATTAGCATAGGCAATATTCCCATGGGTCCTGCTAAACCCTGTATTTATTAAGGAACTGGTAGTCAAGTAACAAACTTCCACGAAGGATTCCTTGTTTCTCTTCATTAAAAAAAAAAACCAAACACCAAAATTCATAAAATGTTGAATTGTTGTGACTGTGGAATTTGCAGATGAAGCTTTCTAGAACTCGTGGCTTTTTATGAAAATATGAATGTGGCAGAGAAATCCCAGGCTTTAGGTGTTTTTGGAGCTGTGCTCTCAGAGCCCCAGCGGCTGCGAGGGGAGACCAGAGGATGCGGGTGGAGGTGGGTCCCACTCCAGAGTGCATCCACCAGGATCAGCCAGGGCACCTTTCCAGTGCCTCCTCCAGTTTATACTCAACAATATCTTCACTATTTTAAGCCCAACACTATGAAAAACGCCGTCCTGAACAGGAGAGGTACAATGAGAAGCCCCAGTTTTTCCCCTCAGAGGGGAGCAGTGCTTCACACCAGGTTTCTGTTTCATGAAGCACTACATGGGACGTTGTCAAAAAAAGTATTTTTGAGTTGAAATTTTCGTCTGGTTATTTTTTTTTCTTTGATTGGATGATTTCTGTTCCAGCACAAGTTAATTTTAAGATCTAGAATAAAAACAACTGGGAGATCACTTTAATCTGACACACTTGATATTGTAAAGACCGAGCAGCTCTTTTGCTTCTTAGAGGGGAGAAAAATGGAACACAGAGAATATAAAACTAGTTAGTACAAGAAGAATCAGAATCCAATGTCAAGCTTGATCATAAATTATATCACATAAATTATTTTATAAGTTGGTCTTATATGGGGGTAAAGTTTAGCAGCTTTTGAAAATTTAGGAGATTACAAGGTAAACAAAGCAAGTGTCTGGAAGAATTGATCCAAGTATGAAGTACCTTGGCACTTGTGCATTATTGATAAAGTGACATAGGTTTGTCACACCTGCATCAAACTGTTCCTGTTTGCCATAAATGATTCACTTTTTTCAATTGCATTACCCTTGCCTGGCTCCCAGAAATGTCAGCATGGGGGGAAGATTGGTTCATGTTCTGTGACAGGGCTTTAGGCACCAAAACAGTGTAATAGGGGGGCTATAACCAAACAGGGTGACACGAGGATGTTCCTGCCACTTTTAAATAGTCAATACTACTCCTGTACTTCAGATTTCAGCTGCAAATGAAACTTATTTTATTTTCTTTCTTATTTAATTTTCCAGTGCATCTGGCAGCCGACTTAGACCTGTGCCTTACTTTCCTTCTGAACATTTAGTAGAAAAATGTAAGGATCTTAGCATTAGAATGAGATAAGACTTGGATTTCAAAACAATACTGAAACCCTCTCATATTTACATTAAGCTGTAGGGGATGGTGACTGTAGCATCCCAAAATACTTCATAAGTGGGCACAGCATTTCTAGTTCAGGAGGACAAAGAAATTTAGTAAAGCAGGAGATGTGGTACCAAAAACAGGATAAGGGAAGAACAGAACTGGCAAAAATGTGACACACAGAGCCCACTCTGGTTAATGACCAAGATAAAATCTTTCCTAGCAAAAATAATCAGAAGGCTGATTTTGAAGGGTTTTTCTCTTTGCACAACTGAAAGAGTGTGGAAACCCCTAATCTGCAGTCATTACCTTCTGTAGATGACTAGAAACATCAGACAACAGCTGGAAGAGTAAACTATGGTTTCAGCACTGACATCAGAAAAGACCTTTTGGAGAGAGTTAAATAAAATGTTCTGATTGGCATGAGCTACTCAAACTGTCTGGAGCAATTTTCTGATCTATTTTCTAGGTGTGCTGGGTGGAAACCCAGGAATTAAATCTTCCTTCACACAATTCCCACTGAATCTGTCCTTAAACTGCAACTGAACTTTAATCTATGGGGTTTTTAAAAGTAAAAACTTAATTTATAAATATATATAATGAACAAATCGGTTGATCTTTATGGGAGGATGGGTGCAAATCATGATCCCAGGTGCTGGATGAACTTCAGAGTTTTTTGTGGAGGCTTTTCCAGTCAGTGACTTGCAAGGAGGGCACATAAAACCAGTGTGAAGAGTAAACTGGCACAAGAAGGAATGATGTGTGCCTGAGGCCCACAGAAGTTACAGAGAAAGGTGGAGAGTCATCTGTCACAGAATCCCAGAATGGTTTGGGTTGGAAGGGACTTTAAACCCATCTCATTCCACCTCCTGCCATGGGCAGGGACATCTTCCTCTAGCCCAGCCCAACCTGTCGGGTACAAGAATTCCAAGCCATCCTTTCAGCTCCTGAATGGCACATTCTCCTCATTGTCTCAAATGAGCAAAGGTTGAACACACTCCAGAGCTCAACTCCAAGCACTGCACACTCCAAAGAAGGGTCCAGCACTGGCCTGGTAGAGGGGTGTGGGCTCTGACAGGCCTGGCTCTGCTCTCCACCCACCCCTGGGGCTGTCCTCAGCCCCAACAACTGTTTCAGTGCTGTGTGAACATGGAGGCTTTTCTTCATGTGTTGGACATAAATATTTTCCTGCTCTTCCTATTTCTTTCTGGACTTCAGTAAGGTATTAGGGCACAATTATTTAGGGACTCATTGAGCCTCCTTCACCACTGCCACCCAACAGGTCTTCTCTGGCCGCCTCCACATCCTGTTCTTTTCCTCTCAGTCAGTTCAAAAAGGATGAGGATCATGGAAAATGTCCTCTTTTCATCTTTAATAGTTCTCTTTTGCAGATAAAGCAGATCTGGGGATTCAAATATTCTGGTATGTATTCAGCTGAAGGTTGGACTTGATGATCTTTTAGGTCCTTTCCAACCTTAATGATTCCATGATTCTCTACATTGTGTTGCAGCTCCATTTGCTCTGATGGCAGATAGTTTGGCATTGATGGCTTCCAAAATTTCAGCAGCTCCACTCTGCTGATGCAAAGCATCCTCCAAAACCCTGGAGTCCTGTCTGCAGACCCTTCACTGGGCAGCACATCTTCCCAAGCTGTCTTTGACTGTGACTCTGAGCTCTGCACAGTCAACCACCCCCCCCCCAGAGAGACAGATGTCACAAGGGGATCACAGTCAAGTGCAAATATAAATATTACCAGGACAGGAGGCTCTCCCAACACTGAGCATAATTATACACAACCCAGGAAAACCTTGGAGCGTTAATCCTGCAAACACTCACGTGCATGTCTTTGCTTCTGGGTCTAAATGTTTGTTAGACTGGGTTTTGGCTGATCATCAGCTTGTCTGTCAGCTGCAGAGAGGTTTTAATTCAGCTAACTTCATATTATTTCAAGTTTAATCCTAAAATTTGAAATATTTTTTAAAACTTCATTCACACAGATTAGAAACGGGAATTGAGTTTTAAAAAAATTTCAATACCTTGATGTTTCTTGGAAAACAAAGCCTAAGCCTGCAAGATACAGGGTGGATTTACTTGCAGGAA